ATCATATCATATACTACCTCCGTCCCAGAGTATTTGTCCACTTTCATTTTCACACACCATCCAATACACTTCTTTAATCCATTTTATCTTGTAATTTGTATATTAAAAAATTATAGAAATTATATATTAATAATCTATATGTTAAGACAAATCAAACAAGATCACACATGACTATATTTAGACTTACACATTGAGAGAATTTGATGAGTCAAAGTACTTAGATGAACAGTTCCAAAAGTCAAAAGTGGACGAATATAGCGGGACGGAGAGAGTAGTATATTTTTATATTGTGTTAGTGTATAAATTAGACAACATAATTTGAAAACAAATTATAATTTTTGATGTTTTTATGCCGATCAATTAACTTAGATTTCACAAACAAAAAGAAATCATTATTATGTTTATGTTGATGTTTATGTTAGAAATTATTTGGATGCAGTGTAGTAGGGTTGAATTTCGACTTCGTGTTGTTGAATTTGACGAAACACTCCTCGTATCTCATCTATAACGCTTCAGTCTTCTTCAGCTCTGCTGTTCAAAGGCAGTACCGTAAGAAGTATGGCTTTGATGAGGTTAAGCATCTCCGTACTTCATTGCCCCCTCTGCTTTCCACTTTCCATGTTTTGAAGTGCCAAATTTTTTGTCCCTGTTAATAATTTTTTGAGAAACAGCCCTTTGTAACAAATGGGTTTCCACATATAGTCTTCTATTACAAAATGTTATGTTCATGGTCCTCTATATTTGAAAAATATTACATGATATAGTCCACAAAGGACTTATCATAGAATAGTTCTCAAATTTAGAGGACCACGAATATACGAGTAATATTTTGGATTAGAGGAATATATGCAGAAAGCCCCATGATATAAAGGATTGTGTATAGAATTTTCTCATTTTTTTTAGTTCTAAGAGTTGAGTTATATCTTCATGCCTAATCGGGTTTCTCGGTGGGTGGGCATGATCTATATTTTTAACTTATAGGAACCTATTGGATTGATGATTTGGGATTTCATGAATGCAGATGATACCTGTAGCCGCCAATGATGTTGCTTTCTCCATACATGCTGTTCTTTTGACAGCAATAACATTATTTCAGATTGCGATCTATGATGCAAGTATCTGTTTACTTTATATCTTTTGTTTGTTATTTGATATAATTCAGTAGAACTTTAGTGTGTTTTTTAAGTTTTGATCATTTGATTGCCTATACACTAAGCTGCTTGGCTTATTTTTTTTAATTTTTTTTTGCGGTTTGTTACTCCACAGCGGGGAAGCCAGAAGGTATCGAAAAGTTGCATGGCAATTCTCTCGGTTGCGTGGTTGGCCATTGCAATTTGTGTGTTCATAGCTATACCCAAACATAGTTGGCTTTGGCTGGTGTCTTGCTTCAGGTAGGCCTACCTTATTCCTTGAGTGATGTTTTGGGCATTGGTCAATGAGGTTCATAATTAGAAACCGGTGCTTTCTCCATTGCTGTTTTAGCGCATCCTACTTTTGGGAGCACCTTTCTAACTTTTGGGACATTACTACCCATCTTTTTTGAAACATTACAAGGGATATCTTTTTTTCATCTGGTCTTTACTTTTCTTTATGATGAATTTATTGATAAACAACGAGGTTGCATATTTTGAGTGCTGATGAAATTGTGTATTGACTATTGAACTGTGTCCACAGCACCATGCAGGTTATCATGACAGTCATCAAGTACATTCCCCAGGTTATAACACTCAGCCAATGAATTTTGCTACTTGCACACTGATGTACACAACCTGCGTTTTGCACTGGCACACTGATGGCCATGCACTAGCACAAAATGTCAGTGCAAAATTATGCAATTGCATTGACATTTTGTGCCATTGTGCTAGTGCAAAGCGCTGGTGTACAACTTGGTGTACACCAAGTGGTGTAGAAGTAGTATGGTTGGTCAACCAATTGCTCTTTGCTGTGATGAATTATGTTTTCCTGATTAGTGCATATGGATCTTTAGGCAGTACTGAATTTTCGGCGAAAAAGCACTGTAGGATGGAGTATTGGCAATATTTTGCTTGATTTACTTGGTGGGCTAACAAACTACGGCCAGATGGCTGTGCAGTCTATAGATCAAAGTAAGTCTCATATATTTCCAGTTTTAAACTGATACAATTTGATAATAATTGGTGTATTGAATAATGAAGGATACATCCTTACATATAGGGATTACAAGATAGAATTCTAATTAAGTAGAAGAAGAATTATAGTAACAATACAAAAAGGACGTAATGAATAATAATATTCTATTTCCTAATACATCTATTATTCTTAATACAAACTATTAACATATGCTCCAGGGCGAACACTAAGGATTTCGTATAAAGCCTAATATGGTGTAGCATCGATGTGATTAATGACACTTTTTTTTCATTTTCAGATTCTTGGGTGAACTTCTATGGAAACATTGGGAAAACATTATTATCCTTGGTATGTGTTCTTTTTAACTAAGGGGCTGTTTGTTTCAGCCTCTTAATGGTTCAGATGTCTGAATGGTTCAGCACTTAATGGTTCAGACTGTTTGTTTCAGCCTCTTAATGGTTCAGAAGTCTGAATGGTTAAGAGATTTGCCTCTGAATGGTTAAGTATTATACATAGTCTGAATGGTTAATACCTCTTATCTGAATTGATCAGACATTTGCCTCTGAATAGTTAAGCAATATACTAGCTCTTAATGGTTCAGACCTCTTACTGGTTCAGCACTTAATGGTTCAGACCTCTTACTGATTCAGCACTTACCCATTCAGAAGTTGCCAAACAGCCCCTAAGGGGAACTGCTAACAGCAGCCCTAAGGGATGTTATTAAGCTATACTGCGTAATAGTTATGCACTTATGGCATTAGGTTGTCATCCGTATTAGTTATGCCAAATTTTATTTATTATTTATACAATTATACACCAATTTTCAAATAAACAGAATTTTAATCATGAATCTAAGGTGCACACCTTGTAAATTACAATAGCAAATGATTAAATTTTAAAAATAAAATAAAAAATAAATGCATGTCCTTTTAATATTTTTTTGCTCATGCGAAAATGTCCATCAATAGGAGCACTTATATTTACGCTAAGTCAATAAGACTGTAGTGTGAAGAAATAATCCAAAATAGAAGTAAAACATAGCTCTTATCTCCAAAATATAAATTCTATGTTTTTATCCTTCCATCGTTGATTTCTAACTTTTATCTCTCTACGGGATGCATGTTATACAGGTATCTGTGTTCTTTGACATTTTGTTCATCGTGCAACATTACGTGCTCTACCCTTCTAGGAAGAACACTACTTCTGAGGATACAGATGTGGTAAGCACTAAGCCATTAACTGTACCTTCCGATCGTCAACACGCAGATGATGTTTAATGCCGCTCAAGTTGATACACGTACACTTTTGCCTCTCTCCCAGTAGGAGAGGCAATGCTAAGACCGCAAAGCGGTCTTTACATGTATACTAATGGTGTAATAAAAAAACAAAGCCTAGTCTTATAATCAATGGGTGAAATAGGGATTGTAGTAAAAAAAATGAAAAAACAAAAAACAGCTGTGTGCAATCTATTTTGTATGCTTCATATTAATTAGTGTTCATTTTGTTCTCTGCAAGATTATATCATTAATGTGAAGCATGTGAATAAGCTTAGCATATTAATTAATCAGGTGATATTGCTCATTTTTTTTTAAAATTTCAGGCTAATTTTGAATACTATGTTATCCTAAAATTACTAATCACACCCTATTTTTTCGTTTGACCTTGGGCCCATAAAAAATCAGGGACGCCATTGGTCTTATGCGGAGATAATTAAATACAACCGTGCTAGATGTACATCACTTGGTGTACATTAAGGGATTATACCAATACTTTTATGACTCACTGACACAAAATGTTAGTGCAAAAATATTGCGATTACATTTTGTGCCATTGTGAGCCATCAAGGTGCTAGTGCAACTCCTTGGTATACATCAAGTGGTGTGCAAGTAGTATTATTGAATTATATACTCATTCCTTCCCAATTTATTCTTCCCATTTGGAAGAATGTGTAAACTCTTATCTTTTTGAAATTATTATATTTACAAATTAGTATATTTAAAAATTCAAATTATATCATTTAAAATTACATTAAAAGATTTATAAGATACAAGAGATAACAAGAATATATTTTATTTTATCAAATGATCAATGAAAATTTACAAATAAAAATTATCAAAATATTGTAACGGTCTGTTTGGTACACAAAATTGATGGAATTAGAATTGAATTAGATGGAATTGAATTCTCCAATTTTAATTCACTTTTGGCTCTATCAATTCCAAATTCACATATTTTAATGATTCCAAACAGCAGAATAGGAATTCTTGTCCTTAATTTCATAGTTTGAATTCCGTGTACCTAACAAAGCCTAATAGTAATTAAAAAGATTAATTTAGCAAGGGGAGCATTACATAGTAGGCGGGCAAGGTGCCCTAGCGGATCTTAGGACATGAACAACAATTGACTAACAGAATGAAAATAGTTCTCCCCGTTCTAAATTAAATTATCTGTTTTGATTTATAATGTTTGACTGTAGTTATTTTTTAATTTAATTTATTTTAGAAATATGGTGAATTTTAAAAATAAATAAAAATTATGTATTGAAAAATTATAAAGAAAGTTTTATGAAACATTAGTTGCTTTGGCTATAATTTTGTCAAATTAGTAATAAAATAGGTAAATAAATTAATAAAGTTTGACAATGTAAATAATAAACAAACACTTTAAATTAGGATGGTGTGGAGCATTCTGTATCCCCGTCCTTATTCTTTATTCGTCTGTCGACAATGCTAATACCCATCATTCTCACATGCAGATCTAATTAAAATGATACATTAGTTTTTCAATCATCCTTCCCGTAAACACTTTCTATCATCAACACTACCAAATTTCATCCTTCCTACATGCACCCTCATTAACTCTATGTCATCATTATTTCTTTATTTTTATATAATAAATACTCTTTTTGTTAATAAAAAATTAAATTACAAGGGAATATAATTTTGGAAAATTGTTCTTGTCACTATATTCAAAAAAAATTGAAAATATGTTTGAAAAGGTATTCTCCAACAAATTCATCCGTGAGGACGGATGGAGAAGGATGATGCATGGAGATCGAGCAACACGCCAGGCAGGCCATCGCGGAGCTCCCTTTCTTGCGTTGGAGACCAACGAATTCACCCGGACTGAATTGTTTAGATCTGATTAGAATAAGATCTGATCTGGTTTTAATTGTATTTAAAAATGTTTCTGATTTGATGGGATCTGATCTAATTTATACTTCATTCGTCCTTGAATGGATTACAATCTTTTTTTCTCTCTCCTATCAATAACTTTTATTTGTTTACGCAATTTCATCAAGTATTTGATAAAATAAAATATTCTTGTCACCTCTTATTCTGTAGAACTTTTGACGTAGTTTTTTAATATGTAATTTTTATAGCTTATTGATATACCAATTTGTAAATAAAATGATTTCAAAAAGTAAAAAATTTTACTCCGTAACTCGCAATTTGTAATCAAATTGGGGACGGAGGGAGTATAAGAATAAATTGAAAAAAATATGCCCTATGAAGACTTTTTGTTTTTTTTTGTAAAAGTCAAATACATCAATTTTCTATATTGTTTTAAACACTTAAATTTAATGTTTGTCATTTGTATAAAATAATAAGATAAAATTTAAACACGACATGTTTTTGGCACGTATGAATGAATAGACCTAGGGGGTAATGTAATACACACCCCCTCCTAAGACCATATTTCCATGAGATTCTACTGCATTATTATTGATTTAATGAAAAAAATTAGAGGGATGAAAAATAAAAGTCACAAATTTTACAAGAGGCAAAAACTTTTCACCCTAATAACTTATAACCCAGGTGAAAAAGTACATAATACCACAATGCCAACACCGCCAAATCCGAAATCAAGATACAAACTGGCGTTGAATGTCATTCCCCTAAAAACCAACAAGCAAATAGCCCACAAAAATCAAAAGCACAGGAAATGAGCAAGAGATGCCCAATATGTTGTCACAAAAAACAAAAACCTAGGGGCACCCATCTTGTAGCTCAAAGTTGTAAACCAAAGACGAATATTGAAACACAAATTTTTGTTTCTATGTTTGTCTTTGGTTGTACAAATTGAGGTACACTACCCTACATCAAGGGTCACCATGGCTCTCCATTTCCATCATTCCAACCAATCTGAACAGCTCCTGGTTTTCTTCAGGGAAGCTTCTTCTACTGCCACAACCTCTCCCACGACCCTCCCGGCGACCCCTGCTTGGAACGGCAGCCATAGGGGGAGTGAACTTGAAGCCATTCCTCTCGGTGTTATTTTCTCCTTCAACAACAACAAAATCATCACTGGCATCTGAGCAATGGGCCTTCGTAGGAATTGACTTCGGGTCGGCAGCCACTACATCTGCAGCTATGGCAGCATTCCGGGCAGCCTTCCCGCTAACCTTTCGGGCAGCAGGATTGGCCAACAGTGGCCCGGGCAGTGGCATCATCCCTATCCCCCGAAGTGATTCCCTTGGCACCCACCGGCTGGGCAGAGTGCCGTTTCAGAGCAGCCATGGCAATCAAAGGGGCTGTTTCAAAGCTCACCCACTTGCTCTCCTGACACTTTTTCCTATGAATGGCGAGTAGGTGCTTGCAATCAAATGGGCTATGGCCAAAAGCCTTGCAGTGGTAGCAATAATGTGGCATGTCCTCATATTCCACCCCTTGAGTGTAAGACTTCCCATCAAAGCGAACAGGGAAGGACATGATAGGCTTCTTAGAGAGGTCCAAATCCACCATCACACGGCAAACACCGGTTTCCATAGCAACACCATCACTACAAATCAGTTCACCCACTTTGGTAGCTAGAGAAGCCAACCCCTCCGTGGACCGCAACTCAACAGGGACATCCAACAACTTTATCCAAACGGGTATTTGGGTGAAAGGTTCAGAATTGAACATAAAATCCTCCCCGGGGATTCGAAGAAGCAGTTTCTTCCCACAGGCCTTGTGATGCCGGTTCGCAAGGGCATGGCTCCGGTCAGCTCTGGATTTGAACCTAAAAATGACCAAACCCGTCTCCTTGCGGAGCGGCAACATCTCACAGGGCATGCCCCATGTTTTCTTGAGATTGCTCACTGCCTTCAAACCAGGAAACTTCCCAACAAAGAGGCCCACGAGGACAAAACCCCATAATTCCTCAATGGGTCTTATGCATTCCTCTGGAATCCAAACTTTATCGCCAGGAGAAACCCCATCTACCTTGAACAGCTTAAACCCAAGGCTGGGGACCCTGTTCTTGCGGAATGGGGCAGCGAATCTTGGCTTTTCTGGTTGGGGCATTTCGTCGAACAGTTTGTGTGCATTGCCAAGGAGGTCATCAACAGAAAGTCCATCTTCCGAAACAGCAGTGGACGAGGAGGAAGAAGCGGGAACACTGTTCACCTTCTTCTTCGTGGTGGCCGCCACCGCTGTGGAAGCCGGAGGAGGGTTCTGACGACCTCGGGACTTCTTTCCCCCCTTCGCCATGGCCTATTATCGGTGGAGCAGATTAAGCTTAAACACGGAAAGATGAGAAAAACAAGATAGGGACGGAGTAGTCTGAGTTCAAAACCAAAGGGATTTCATTGATGAAGAAATCAACCACTCCGTAAATATAGAAGTGTCTGACTGACAATGGAGTCTCTGCACTGTTTATTATGCGCATGCCTGAGGCCCTGAGCTAACGCTAGGCCTGAGCCTGACACAAACTTTTTATTCCAAAAAATGGTTAAATGATTTCAATTGATCTTTTCATTTATTCGAAACAAGGACAACGCTATTTGTACATTAAAATATGTACCAAAATCATATATTGACATTTTGTACTAGTGTTTCTAAATTTTTATTTACCATGGGCTTTGCTTGAATGCATTGCTAGGCTCATGGACTCCATTTTAAAAAAATATTACTTAGAAATTATTACTTTAGAATCAAATAATAAAGGAGAATTTCAAGAACATATTTTAAATCTGGATAATAGAAAATACCAAAATACTTTTTATTTGACATTCATTTTATATACATTTTTGATAGAGAACTATTTAAAGAATGCATTTGAATTATAAAGGATAACATTGATAATTATTGCATACTCCCTCCGTCCCACTGTCTTTGTCCACTTACCTTTTGGCACACCATCCAATGCACTTCTTTAATCTATTTTATCTTGTAATTTGTATATTAAAAAATTATAGAAATTATATATTAATAATTTATATGTTAAGACAAATCAAACAAGATCACACATGACTATATTTAGGCTTACACATTGAGAGAATTTGATGAGTCAAAGTGCTTAGATGAACAGTTTCAAAAGTCAAAAGTGGACAAAAACAGTGGGACGGAGGTAGTATGAAAGATTAATTTGAGAATAATACTTTATTAGAAAGGACATTTTAAAAATTTACTCTTTATTTTTTCTTAGAAAAGACAAGGATGGCCAAATGTAATACTCCCTTCGTTCCCAATTTGATTACAAATTACGGGTTACGGAGTAAAATTTTCTATTTTTTGAAATCATTTTATTTACAAATTATATATCAATAAGATATATAAAAATTACATACTAAAAAATTACGTCAAAAGTTCTACAAAATAAAAGGTGACATGAACATTTTATTTTATCAAATATTTAATGAAATCGCATAAACAAACAAAAATTCTAGAGAGGAGAGAAAAAAATTGTAATCTATTTAGGGATAGAGGAAGTATCTTAGTTCTCGACTGATAAAGTAATTGTAATGGCATTAGTGGAAACCAAAAAATAGTGTACCCCAAATGTACACCACACTTCTTTTCTCCACACATTTTTATTTGATTTTTATTTACTTATTTTTTTTAAATCTTTTTGCCTTTTTTAGTGGACAAGGAGTGGGTGAGGGATATTTGGGGTGTAACGCCCCAAAATATACCCTAAAATTTATTGAATTAAATATTCAAATTAATCAAATTTGTTTTGATTAAAATAAATTGTTGTTGGACTTTGGGCCGAAATAAAATATATATTGATATCCAATATCACAATCAGGATAAATCTCATAGAGATAATTCCAATTAGTTGATTATTTGTGTGATCTTGATTGGGAACTTGAGTACAGACCCAAATCAAGAATAAATGAAGAAATTACTTATGATGTGAACTTTGAAATGATTTATTAAAATAAATCATTAGAACAAATGATATGAATTAAATGTGAAAACCTTTTTGAATAAAAGTCAATTAAACCAATTTTGACTCTGTCAGAGTCAAACACCAAAAATATGATGTCGGAAAAAGTATTACAAATAAATATGAAAAAAGTATATCGTTGGATAGAGTTTAACTGTCTGATCGCAATGGTGCAAACAGAATTCAATTCGGAGAAAGTTGGACCAAAAAGTGTACCCTGACTGGGACCAAATTAGTCCCAATCAGGGAGTAACGTGCTCAATCTATTTATAGCCGAAAGAAGATCGGTGAATTGGAAATCTACGCAGCATCTACTCAGCCTAGTTTCCTCTTCTTCTTCTTCCCTTCTCTATATAAGGAATTCAATCTTCCTCAATTCTTCATCAAAACACTCCATATTTCCTTCTATTCTGTTCTTTGTTGAGAGAGGAGTGCACTGGTGCTGCCATTTTGTTGAGAAGTCGCCGGAGCTAGCCACAATCTTCGCCGGAAGTTTCACCGGAAAATTTCCAAAACCTTCATTAAGCTTTGGTGTAAGCCCGTTGATATATCTAGTGATTAGAATGTTCATATAGATCGTTTCTACGTTCATAAACGGTCGTTTGGTTGAATTTTGTGTTTGACATGTTTGAAGAACCAAGAATCATAAACTTTGAAATTGTTGTTAAAACTACAAATTAATGGTACCAAAATGATCTATGAACCTTGGAGAACCTTTTTGTATACTTTAATTGAA